AATGTTATACAACGTATTGTCTAGGTAAATACTCTCTCGATTTTTCGCGTTACCGCGCGATTTTCTTTGCTCGTCATGCAAGCGAAAGCAAGAAGAAAGCAATGAGAAACGACAGGGTCCCGGAAATCAATCGCTACACGACGAACGATGATTTTTCGTAATGGATGACATATCACGTCGCGTTATTCGTCGTTCTTCCTATCCTCATTAGCCGTCAGTCATAAAGCTTGCATTGCAAAAAAGCGCAGACGATTGAACGTCATACGTACGTACAAACCCCCTGGGCATCCGGGCACACACACACACACACACACGCGCGCGCGCGCGCGCGCGCGCGTGTGCACACTATGAAGATATTCCGGCGCTTGCGCAACCCGCGTCTTCACGTGTACCATTACACATGCTTTACTACGAACGTTACTACGACGAGTACTACCATCGTAGCGTGCCGTGAGGCTGAGCAAGCTAAAGACCGTGGACTTAGGCCGAAGTTCGATAATCCCACGATGCTGAAAGATAACAAAGAAAACAACGCTTCCTGTTTATTACGAAATTTGGTTGCGTAGATGCACGAAGAATCTTTCTCATCAGTGTATATTAATTTGCGATGATGAAGTAAACGTTATGTATTATAATCGTGGCTTTCTAGATTTTTTCAGCGCGCATGTCTCCTTCATATTAATTCGGTAGGATATATATATATATTTTGAAAGCAAAAAAATATTTAATAAATATTAAAATAAAATAAAAGTAGGATTATTCATTTTAATTATAGACGTCGCACTATTCATTTGCCAAATCAAAAGCTTTAACGTTTCTCGCAGTGCCATTTTCTGAGAGATCAATATCTACAGTGATACCACTCTTATCTAAGAGTAATCTTTGAAGAAATATTTTAAAGCAATCAAGGGAAGAACGCGGCGACGCAAGTATTAAACAAAAATCGCTAAAATTTCAGTCAGTTGGTTTTACTCTCAGAACAATGGGTTTTGGCGCATTCTGTACGTTCTCTTCAGGAACAAGTACCCGTGAAACGTGAGCTGATGTGTCGAGCGATGAACGGTCGATCTCTCGTGAAATATTGTCGGTGGAGGCGATTCGCAATATCCGAGCCGTCGGTGGAGGTTCGAGACGGCGCGGCGCGGCAGTTCGCGGCGCCCGGGGGATTTGTAGCTTACGGGTACGCTGCACTTCGGGGTGCGCCTCGCGCACCAACAAGTACTCCCCCCTATAATCTGTAAGAGTGCGGAACGAACGCGATCGAGACCTAGCTCGCTGACCCGGAAGTAATCCCCGGAAAAGAAGATAAAGACAAACAGAGTCAGATAGATAGAGATACGGATCTCTTTCTCCCATTCTCCTCCCCCTCGTTTCTAATAGTAAAACGGGGATACTCGTAATATTACTCCACCGACAACATGCGGGTGTGTCTGTGTGTGTGTGTGTGTGTGTGTGTGTGTGTGTGTGTGTGTGTGTGTGTGTGTGTGTGTGTGTGTGTGTATGCCCGAGAGACCTCGCAGGTTATCCGACGAACGAGCGGACGGACGAATCGTATCCGCGCCAGGAGGCGCGGGTATTGTCCGATTCGAGATTCGTCGAGAGCGATCGAACGGCTCCGACCGGGCTTTTATTGGGAGGCTACACGCGCTCGCCTCGCCGATACTCGGCGCGTCGGTGTACGTTGTACATTGACTCGACGTTTGGGATCTGTCGTAGTGTTTCTGAAGTGGGCCGCCGGTGATCGTCAGCGAGAATTTTTATCATAGAGTATTCTTGGCCTGGGACAGTTTCCTACGAGCACTGCGCTCAAATCGAATATTACCCCCTTACGAGCGATTTCATTCGGGGAATTATATACAGCTTTGTCTCCAATATATATTACTATTCTTCCATTCGCTATTGTGTATCTCCCATCAAAGAATTCTTCAATCGAAATCTCTTGTTAATGTGATATTAAAGATCGATAGTCTTTCAGTTGTAAATTACTGCAAAAGTACAGATTCTTGGCAACTGGCAAGTTTAAAACTTGGGAATTTTTATTAGAAGATTAGTTTAAATAATATTTATAGTTTAATGTTGAATAGTAGAATAAAATAATGTTTCATATACGAGAAAAAGGAATCCCTGCACTCCAATCAAAATGTCTTTTATGCATTACATAAAATATGCTTTCAATAAGACGTGTCTAATTCAAGTAAATTTACAGAAACAATGATTTCAAGAATAAAATTTGAAAAATTATGTAATTACGAAAAAAATCTCAATTCTTTGCGTCTATTAAGTGAACATTCTGTAGATAAAGATAAAATAAGATACTTAGAACATGGAGAGAGAGAGAGAGAGAGAGAAACAGAGACTCATAGAACTTGATTAGAAAGTAATCCGTATTCCCAGGATTCAATTTCTCTCAAATGTAATTTAAATTTAGTATGAAGAAAGTTGCAATATTAATCGTAATTAATAAATCGCTTCTTTCATTAAATGTCTAATGAAAAAGTGGCTATAATTTCTACAACATAATATTTATAAAATTAACATATATTGTCTACAATATTAATTATTTTTAATAGAAAAATCTTAATTATCAAACTCTGAATCATATGAAATTTAATTAAAAAGAAAATATACGGTGTATACATCTTAAAATCATTTTCTAAAAATTTACAATAACTTTTCCGTTTTCGAAAACGGCATGTATTATAAAAGAATCGTCATTATATATGGAAAATATATCATTACTTTTAATGAAACATCTGCATCAAAATTAAAGAATCAAAGATCGTATAAAATCTTTTTCTATATTTTATTTCAACACTCTTTGCTTTGTCGTAATTTACGATTATATTTGCAAGCTCCAAACATTTTGAACAATAAAAAGATTTAATAATTCATTCTTTACTAAACACGAAATGGATAACTCGATATTACTTTATATTAAGTAAGGAGAGACAAATCGAATTCCCGAAATCGAGGGAACGGCACGATAACGCTGACTTATTCACGCTTTTGTGTCCGTCGTGAAATCGGTGAAATGGATTATCCGACGATTTTGGCGGAGCCCTTCGATTCACCGATGATGGCGAACTGGTTTGAAAGCGAGTTCGGTCGATGAGACCGACGTTTGAGAGGAAACGAGCGAGGAACGAGCGACGAGACGGAAAGCGACCCAGCATCGGCAGAAAGAGACAGGTGGAGAAAGAGAAAGATAGTGATGTCGAGTGAAAGTCCTTTAGCAAAAACCAGGCCAGGGCTTCGGTATCTTGGCACGAACATACCGTAGCTATTACGCAATTACGCATTTGCCGCCGTCTTACTTGCGCGTCGCATCGTCAAGACAGCATCGCGTCCCCGTTTCCCTTTGCAATTTACGTTCTAAATCGCTAAAAGTTTTCAAATTACAGCTGCGGTTATGACAAATGTTGGCGACGACATCGCGACATTGTTTTTGCCGATTAGCAACGACCAACCGCGATTGAGTGCCATGCGTCAACGCGTTAATATCTTTTTTTGCAATGCAAAACGCTCTTTCGATTACTTTCAAAAATTTCTCATAGAAATGATTTTAAATGAATTTGTTTTTTTCTATTCTTAGATCCTAAGATATAATTTCAAAAATAACGCGCATAATTTTGTATAACTGCAAAAAATGTAGCAAACTACTTATCTTAGATATCTTACATTTTTTTAAACTGAAAAAATAAGTACTATATCAAAAGAGTTCTCCATGTCGTCCTCCAGCTGACAGTATCCTGACAGAAGGTAGATCAAGGTCGTAAACTGTCCATGATTTAATTAAATTTTGAGACCTTATTCTTCTCAGATTGTATCATGACGGATATGCGTTCCATATATACATATATAAAAATATAATACATTGATATTAAATTATCTTACTTTAGAAAGAAAGGTTGGTGAATAAAAAAATAATTATTTAGTTCATTTCATTTTTTTAATTTCATTTTTTTATTTTCATTTTTTCATTTTTTTAAAGAAATTTTTACTAATTTTTAAATCTCTTTTAACTTGATCACAAAAAATATCCTGATCAAATATATATACGTTGTGAAATAACATATCCATGTACGAAAAGTTAACGTGCTCGTGCAGAGAAGAGTTTGGGCAAAATTTAACAAAACTGCCGCATATTTTTCCTCGGGAGATCGAAAGGTCGGCGAACGTTCCACAAAGTATTTTCCTGCATTTTCCGCCATGGAACGGAAGGTCACGTAATTTAAATCGCTTTGTGTAATAACAAGACTCGAGATGCGAACGTTACCACAAAATAATGGGCGCGGCGTAATAACAATAACTGCAGGTAACTACTTGCTTCTACAGCGCAATGCACGCGAATCCATTTTAAATTAATAGAACACAGCTCTCTCGAAGTACACAGCACAATGCCAATCCTATTACGAGAGCTGAATAAATATATTAACTCTTATACTCACGCGGAAAAATAATTGTTTGCGTACTTAGATTACATCACACACGTATTGCGAATTTTTATACTTAAAGTTATGGTACTATGGTTCAATATCATGCTACGCTGGATATAAGATCAATAAAAGATCCAGGTATCAAATGTACAAAGCGAATAAATCTGATTAATACATGATTTCACAAATACACGACGTGAGCATCTCGTATCGAAAAAAAGCATGAAATTTGGGAGAACATTTCGTTAAATTGAAAATATATCTTATCATAATTTTTTTTGCAATATCAATAATGACAAACGCGTAAAGAAATTACAGAAATTTACACGCGTTATTTACAATTATTTTTCTTTAACTCTTTGAGGGGGGAATTTTGGTTGGCAATTTTTTTAAAACTATTTTAAATCAGTAGAATGATATTTGTTAATTGTTTAAGATGAAAGCATTATATCCATGCCACTTCTCCTTCTTTGATTTCTCCAGACTGGCATGATGTCGTGTACTCCATTGCGTGTTCGGTTGCGATCGCATTGTGTTCGTTAACTATAATAATAAAAAACTTACCAAGGTGTAACGTGGCGAGGGCGAATAAAAGTAAACCAAAAATAACTCGCTGCGGCGTCGCATCCATTTTTTGATGGTTCCGGCCACTGTGGGTCGAGCCCTCTTCTTTTCCGTTACTACTGCGGACGGTGGTGATGATGGCACATGTACACACACACGAACCACACGCGCGCACTTATATTCGATCTGCAATTCGAAAAGAACACCTCGTGAAGCCTCGCGCTGATCCTGCCACGGATAGATCCCGTCGGTCACACCAATGATCTTTAACTTTCATCGATTACGATAAGTTTGGCCAAAATACAATTTAGATCTTTAATTATTAATATATCGAACACAATTGTACGCAGTCTGAATTAAAAGAAAAACAAAATTCTTGGACTTGAAAATTAAAAAAAATTTATGATACTGAAATGTCGGAATAAAAAATACAAAATAGCCCGGCGATGAAAAAAAAAAAAAAAGAAAATAATAGTACAGAACAATCTCAGTCGTAATAATATTTAGAATCAGTTGTCTTTATTTAAATTATTTGTATTTCTTAAACAGTGCGAGAGTATTTGCGGAAAATGCGTGAATAAAAAGATATTGATAACGTCGATGAGAAATTCGCAACTCTTGACGCACGTCAAGCGATGCGAAATCACGAGTGACTGCTTAATACGCGCGAGGAGCGATCGACGAGAGATCCGACAAAGTCGACGGGCTTACGATCGACCGGCTGAAAGCCGACTGAGAGAAAATTCGACGTCGATCTTGTGGCACACCTTTCTCGCGCGATCATCGCAGCTCGCAACCGTGTACGATACTACCGTTACCCGACGATCATATTTCTAAGATACAAAAGTCGTACGAGAGTATCTTGCGACATGGAGTTTCTACATGCGTACTGTACACGACGATCGGTATCTCAGAAATTTAATTAACATATGACTTGAAAATCGCGTATTCATCTTCCTTTCATTCTTCTTTTAAGTTCTTCTCGATTTGCTTAATCAATACAATATATAAGCTGTATCTCGACTCTATTTCCGCTTTGGAATTTATTATTCAGCGCGGATCAATTTTCTTCTCACATTTGTATTTTAGATGTCACGTTACTTTTCTCTACGCTGTTCTTAACATGTCAGTTCCGAAGCGAAATGTACTTGTATGAAATATCAAAAATTGAAATTATAATCTAAAAACTTGATGTAAAGGATAGACAATTTCCGGATATATTATATTTTTTTTCAACGGATTAAATTTTGAAAATTATATCTGTATACAAATTATATCTCTGTTACTTATGTAAAATATATGCACAAGAGAAATTCAATCAGTCGATATTCATAAGATATTTCGAAGTGCTTTGCAACCGTTATATTTCGTATATTTCGTAGCTGCTATGTACGCTCCAGTAAACAAGAATTTATGTGTTAGCGCATTTGGTAAACAAGAGCTCATGCTAACATGTTTGGAAAGTCTCATTACCTAAATTTACTTGCCTGGTACGTTATGTACTAAAATTGTAGAAGAGAGAGTTAAGTGTAACACAAGGTAATGATTAAAATGTCATTGGTGTCGTCAAAGAGCAATTTATTCACGTGCTGTCTTCTGCATCGTTTTGCAACATGTAGTTCACTGAATTCCAATAGTGAAAAAGAAAAATATAATTAATAAAAATAGTTTATGAACGTTTCAATAAACTGTACAAGTTCAGAGGTAAAATTTTTCAACAATAAAATTTTTTCTTAACGTGCAATAAATAACGTAACGTGCAACGTGGAATTTCAAATATAAAATATAAAATAGGAATATCAAATATAAAATAGGAATATTCTGGCGATTTTCTGGACAAAAATCCGATTGAATTTTGCAATTCGGTAAATTGGATGCGCACGAAAGTGAAGTTGCGTTTTAAGGACACGTTAGAAATTAGACTTTTGTTAAACTTATTATTTTCCTTTGCAAACTTTTTTTTTCTATTCTCACTTTGTCTATCGAAATTCTTTGTCTATCTATTTCTGAATTTACCCTTCGCACGCTTTGGATATTCCATTTATTCTGGATGGATCGCGCTTTTTGAGTTGCTAGAAAAAACAACGAGTACGATATCTCTCAATGTGCATATCGTACCATATATTTCGTGCTATGTATCGTTACGAATATAATCTCTTTCTACCGCCCGATAGCACACGCAATATGGACACACCCGATATTTGGCTTCGCTCGGGGAAGTAATTTCTGTCTATCGCGATACATTTTCGCGAAAAAAGAGCTTACTTCAAATGATTATAAATAAAAACGTTACGAGAATATCGTAATATATCGTTGCTTTGCCATTGAATGTATAATTTTACATTATAATAAAAGAGTTTCGGAAAACTTGATATGTCTCCAAATATCTTCGTAAATTTTCCTATATAAATTTTTCATTAATCATTCGTTTCCTTTTCATTGCAAAACATTGCGTATGTTCTACGCATTTCAAAATCAATTAATCGTCACTGATACTCCTGACATTTTTTCTATTTATGAATCATCTCCATTCATATATTTCATTTATGATTTATCTCTTTATACTTTTGCATTTTCTATTTGTTACAGAAATAATTTTATGTGATTAATGTATCATGATTTTTTTTAAATCTCCAAACTAATAATTTATACACTGTTCTTTTTAATATAATTTTTAAATAAAATTATAAATAAAAATTATAGATATATAATTTAATATTATTCTGATATACTTATTATTATAAAATTTATATTTCTTATAAATTCACACAATATGATTCCATATAAATATTACATCATTTTATTTTTGCAAGTTTCGTATTGTCACATCAATAAAATAAGTGCAATCGATAAATCCATAAAGCAATCGTAATTTACAAAATTTTAATTATATGAAATTCCGTATCTATAGAGCTTAATTAGTGGAATGTCTTGAGAAATTGCACGCACCCATTAACTTTCAGTTACGCACTTTAGCATATAATCATGTTTAAATCATTAATGCAAGAATACACACTGGCAACTTACTGAGAATTTCGTATCTCTATCGATCGCTAAGATTTTTTTCACTACACTGATAAAACAACTTTACATGCTAAAATGTCACGTAATGATTGTGAAATTTAAAACAAGTAACTTAATTAATGCAATGATAATCATTCTTCCATGTAATATTCAACTGTCTCACAATGTATAAGATGTATAAGATGTAACCAAATATATTCATTATATAACATGCAGTGCCAGTAAAGAACAAATTAAAGGAGCAATAAGTTCAATTTACAGAACTTATTCAATATAATGATGCATATATATAATCTTAAATCAAGTTTTGGCAGAAATTAGTTAAAATGTATGTAACTTCTTATGCATGCTGAAAAAAACATAAATTAATACGTACTGTATCACATTATTCGGAATATCACGCGATCACTCGTTATTAAAGTATTTTCTTCTTCTTAAAAGGATAAAGTAGAAAAAAGAATAAATGTCTGTTTAGGCCAAATTACTTTTCTTGTTGGGAATATTATAATATAATATGATCTCCGTCATCAACGACAAAATATCCTCTGATGCACGATAATTAGATTATTGTCGCGCTTCAATTGTCACGAATACAATATGAGTAACAAAAACCCGCCTTTACCAGACCCAGTAATAACAGATTCACCCTCTTCGCGCCACAATATAACCGATTTTCCCGTGCACATCGGTCCATATTAACGGAATTATTTCATATTCACCGACATATCTCTCTCTCTCTC